CAAAATAACCTTCAGATACTGAAGGATTTTCGCGTTAGTCCTTAAACCAAAATATTAGGCAACTACTGCCTGATTTTTATTTTTGATCCACTCTGTATCTAAAATTAAACGTAGATTGTTTTTGAGCAGATACCCATTCTACATTCGTTTCGAAAATAATGCAAAATAATGCGTTAGGACCCTTATAAACCTTACACTCGTAATTAAAATTTGGTATATTTTGTGTAGTAAGTATATAATTATCGATGTCTGTGACTGTATTTAATATTTTTTAATTTCTAGCATATCAAAAAGATTACCAGATCTTTTCCTACTGCTACAATCCACGTTTTAAATAATATTTTGCAAAAAACATATATTGATTTAAATTTTACGCTAGAAAGGGCTTTTTGTTTTTCCTATATATATATTAAATAAAAGAAAAACCGTCTTTACTTACGTAAGAAAGCATTTTTATGTTAAGATTTGATTCAGTGGACCTTATAGACCAGCTGAAAATATCTAAATATAAACTACATTTTCATCAATCGAAGCCATTATGTAAATAATGCAACCGTCTAACCTTGAACAATTAAACAATTTTATAAGATAAATAAATCCTGAAATAAAAAAAATAAAATTAATTTATTTAACACAATTATTAGGCAAGGCAAAGAGTTCAAAAATGTTTTTGACATAGGTCCAGTAATTCCTAATACACCCTCTTGAAAGATGTCTTTTGAAAGAGGCGAATACCCTGAAGCCCACAAGACAGCTCTGGTTTTACCTTTATTTAAAAAAGGAGATCCTAACTTAGTAGAAAACTACAGACCTATTAGCTTATAGCATAGGGAAAGTATTTGAAATTATTGTAAATGATAAGATATTACGTTACTTCGAAAAACGTAACCTGCTTAACCTACAGCGGCATGGTTTTAGGAAAAATTTAGGTGTGGACAATGCGCTAAGTAAATTTATTGACACCATCCACTCGTCCATGGATAACAAATTGGTTACCCTAGGTCTATTCATTGACTACTCAAAGGCATTTGCCACTATGTCGCATCAAATTTTACTCCAGAAACTGAAAAGACTCGGTTTCCATGGCGTGGCCCTTCAATGGTTTACCTCTTACCTTTCTAATCATACACACAAGGTATTATATGATAATTCATCTGTATCTGACTCAAGAACGGTCAATATCGGTGTCCCGCAAGGGTTCGTTTTGGGATCTACTCTTTTTATTTTATTTACGAATGATCTGGCACGATATATAGAAACAGGTTGTAAAGCACTGCAGGTGTACTATGCAGATGATACTAATTACTTAATAACTGGGTCGGATTTCGTCACAGTTATTAGTACGCTTCAAACTTTATATGAAAGAGTCCTTTTCTGGTCGGTAAAAAGTAAGCTAATTGTAAACAACGATAAAACTGCATGTGTTTTGTTTGATAAGAGTAGCCATAGTAAAATATTGATCGATGATGCACACAAATCTATTAATTATAATCTTCAAGCACAAGCCTCAACAAAAATGCTTTGTGTTTACATTGATTACAAATTTTCCTGGGCACCTCCTATTGATATCATGTGTGGAAAGCTTTCTCATGTTTGCTATATGTTAAAAAAATGCATCGCTGCACTGCAGTAAAGAAATCTTAAAATCCTTGTACTTTGGTTGTTTTCAGAGTTTCATAATGTATGGAGTAGAATACTGGTTTAGATCTTCAGAAGCCGAAATAGTCAGATTATTTAAGCTTCAAAAATGGGCAATAAGAATTCTAGTTAATATAAGGAAACGAGACTCCTGCCGACATCATTTTAAAAATCAGAAAATTTTGACGCTTCCTAGTATGTATATTTTCAGGGTTGTGCTTTGCTTTTAAAAATTAAAGCCTTTTTACTACGTGTGAGGATAACCACAACTACGAAACACGTAACAGAGATCGTTTATTACCAGAAAAACACTCAACTGCATTGTATCAGAAAAGTTTGCATTATAATGCCTGCAAATTCTTTAATGCATTGCCTCAGGTAATTAATTAACGATGTAAATAATGTGCACACCTATAAAAGAAATGTAAAGCAATTACTCTTTGAAAAAAACTGCTACTGTTTATCTGACTACTTTTTGTAATGTGTGTAACTATACGTAAATCGTCTTTTTTTTTAGTTATTCTGTATTGTATTGTCTTACGTATATTAACATATATAACGGTTGTATATGTTTTTTATTAAATATATTATTATTATTATTACGTTAAATTAAAAGAAAAAAGAATGCATTGACCCAAAGACGCACGGTTGGAGTTTTAACATTGTCAATTTATATAAATTAAACACGTATACGCGACGAAGTCATTAATTTTCTCTTAAAAAATAATGAAAACCAAAAATATGTTGCGCTTGTATTTTTTGACAAAATGATGATTAATTAACGGAAATATCCATTTATTGTCAATTGTTATTTATTATAAAATATACTTTTTTTATTAAGACCCATCACTGACCCGGAAATGACCGGCATTCAGGCAAGACTTCTATCATTACGGGTACTAAGACCAAGTAATGATATATTTATCATATAGAAATACAATAATTCATTATTATAATAATATTGTATAAAACAAACTAAAGTACAATGTTTAATTTACCAACTAAAGTAACAAATAAATATTTACAAATGCCGGAGCAGTATTTATAACTTATTCGATTTAAAATACAAATTATAGCGTTATCGCCTTCGGTAGCTTTATCCCTATCATTTAATACAGTTATTAGTGGCCTATGGTGACTAAGATAAGTGATATAAATATCAGTTCTTAATTGAGTAATAAAGCGTGTGAAAACGGCATCAATTGTTATACCTTATTTAGTCGTTGGAACAGTCAAACGAACACATTTTATCAAATAGTTGTAACATGGACCGTAGCGCCGTCTCGATCACGCCCACGCTAATTTGGCGTTTCCACTCCACTCTACTCGGCCCAACCTCGCTCGAGTAGCTAGTTACTACCGCTGCGAACAGGAGGAGCTGCTCGTCAATGGGTACGCACATTAATCGCCTCATCGCAATACACCTGGATGCAAGAATAATTCGTCAAGCAACTTCTGCACTAAACAGAACAGTTCTGAGAGTTATCTGTGTATCACTGCTGCATCCTGAGGGTCGTTGTGGTCTAGATAGTCTTTGAATTCTGGCAGTGGGTGTCTCTTCCTATAGCGCGGCGTTACATGCCGATGTTCAAACTCAGTTCAGACCGGTCTCGGTGACCTCAACACCGACACCGACACCGACACCGATTTCGAGCTCGTAGCTCGAACTCGATATCCTATGCCGGCGCGCGTCGCCTACGTGTTCTATAATACGAAAAGAAATGAGTTAAAGCTCCAAAAGAAATAATTATTATTTGACGAATTTAGGTATTTTCAGACATTTTAAAGCTATTACATGATTTTAAACAATATTTTTCAATTTAAATAGTGTCTGCAAAGAAAATGACACTTATAAAACATAATTAAATAATCAAAATTAACTTGTACCTAAATAAAGCACGAAGTTGTAACGTTAGAATCTTAACAATACATCATTTAAGTAAAATATGTTTCCTATTTATAATATTTTGATTCAAAAACCGTCAGGTGTTTATGATATACTTTGCGTTTATAAAAATTTGAACATTACGTTGAAAAGTATAAATTATTATCAATGTATGTACTTTATGTGTATTTGTTTACTTGTTTTAACGAAGGTTGCATGCACTTCATTAATTTAGCTTAATAGGTCCTCAGAATAATTTTTTTCAGAATTCACGAAAACAACTGCAGTAAAACATTAAAAAATATGTGTCATGATAAAATTGCATTCTAATGCAAACTGCAAGAATCAAGAGGAACATTGAGTATTCTTAAAATAAGAAAATAATTAAAACTGAATGATAACAGTTATGTACAGTATCATTTGTGAATAACTGAATAAGGTATAAAGCGTTTTCAAAAACGTACAATTTATCAGCAAGAGAGTACGGCGCGATCTCTTGAGAGCTATAAAAAGCAGCAAATTAGTTTCTAATTTAACTAACTTTGTATCTCGTACAGCTGTGAGATTATAATATGCACTAAAAAAAAAGGTAACCACCCTATACACCTACTTCTCTTCTAAATGTTGTAACGAACCCAATTCCTTCATTTCTTTAGGAAATTAGAAGTTCTGTAAGTAAAGCTGAGAGCTTTTACGTCGCTTGGTCAGTTGAGCACGCACAGATAACGGTGAAGGTAGTAAAAGGGCTCTCACTATATTAGGTTTCATTGCAGAATAAGGTATTTAGGTTTAAATCCATATAATCATTTAGTAAATGATATTATCTCTCAGTAACCCTCACAGCAGTTAACGAGCTTTTGAAATTTTCTTCGTGCCTCATTTATGTCCGTTTTCGTAGCGACGTCCCAGAATTCTAATTTTTTATTTATGACACTAGACTAATGTTTGTCCGTTCGATCCCAGCCACAGGTGTGTTTTAACAGAAATGTTTGAAATTGTACAAGAGTTGAAAATAAAGTGCACAGTTTGTCGGAATATTGGAAAGCTAAGAAGATAATGAAAATTTTCTATTGTTTCAGAGTTTACATGAGTGAATAATAAGTGGAGCAGGGGAAGTCCCTAACTGGATGTATCCAATTACTTCTTTGCTTTGATTACAAAATCAATTTTAGGCGGGCATAGTAATAATTATGAGAAAGTATGTAGCTAAACTTAATGCCGCGTACTAAATCAGTCATATAATTAGAAGTCTCTGTCCTTACCGAAATATAATTAATTAAACAAGAGAGTGGATCGTATTACCTTAAGAGATAATGGGTAAACAGTAATAAATTACATGCAGAAATGGCTACGTAACGGATAACGACTGAGAGAAGAGACAAACTAAGAGAGTTTAGTTTGAGATGGATGAAAAGTGAGACCGTGTGCAATAAATCATATGCGATAGTGCGATGCGTGACAGGGATGAAGAAGGTACCTTTGGAGCGAGGGTCCGGATGTGTTGCAGCAAGAGAGGACGCGTCTGGAACAAAGGAACAAAAACACTAATATGTCCTGGTTGCTTCCCACTGATTGCTATTAGTAGGCACAGCACAGCGGCATGCATGCGACAATTGTTAAAGGGGGTGGTTCTATGCAAAAAACAACGCCTAAAACATCGATAACAGGAACAGCGATAACGATACGGTTTTGCTGCCATATATTACGCCGTTCTCAAGACCTACCGACAAATTCCTAAGTAGATTAAAGCCCTTTTTGCCCCCGATTCGGCAATTCCCGCCAAAGCGGAACGCGATCCGACACCTGAACTTTTTTCTCTTATTTCGTTCACGGGAGATAATTGCCTGGGATTTTCGTTTTCGTTATTGCCCTACTATACGCCGAAGAGATACAAAAACTAATTAGCTGTCTATTGCGACTTCCAAGTAATTACACCGCTATTACGACGTTTCAATAATGAGAAGAAAAATGTGAGGGGAAAAAAGATACATTTAATCTAATTGTAAACATCAATCTTGTAGTAATTTATCTCTATAGGTTTGCTCGAAAGATAAAAGGTAAAAAAAAAACAATATGCCAAACGGCAATCAAAATATCTTTTATACTGGAATCATGAAATGTACCTATATGTAAAACGTGCAGCAGCCGGTATTTTGCCGCTTTGCTCAAGAGTTAGTTAGAATAGTGTCTCGACTTGACACTTTGTGTGAACACCATATAGGATAAAGCGGAAAGTAAAGAGGACAAATCCTCATTAACAGTTTTTCTTTGTGTTGCCGTAGGCTAACGACGGAATATTTTCTCACTCTGTACCAGATGGCATAGAAAAAACTATAAGATATTCTGCACGTCAGATGAATTTCCGCAAATTCTTACACTGCGAGTCTACATACTACAATAATTTTGAAAAATGATTCTGTATTCATTAAGAAGGTGTAACAGTGAAAACTGGGTTGCCATTTGGATCTTTTTTGTTGTTATTCTTTTAACCTCTACAATACTGTCTATTACTACACAACCAATCTACCAACTTGTAACCTATACTTTCTTAGGCAAACATTTCCGTAAGTTGCAAAAATCTGAACATATAATTGTCGTTCACTCATTAATGTCTTCGAAGTTTTGACAAGCAGTTCATCTTACACATAATAATAGTTGTAGGATATCAGATGCATCCCATGTTTTAAAGCACGGGTTATGTGTATGTAATGTCTCAACTGCTAAGTATACCGACAGCAAGGTTCATTATGAAATATTGTTTCATCAATTGGATCAATCATTTGTTTTATTGGAGTAAAATTCCTAATCTTTATCATCTGAGAAAGATTCTCAGTATCTCGAAAAACCCTTATCCCTCTTAACATAACATCGCCAATTGAATGATTCCAAGATTATCCTTCAGCTGAACATAGATATTCTTCTGATATTTGCACCTTTAAATACATTTTTTTAGATATCAAATTGAGTTAACACTTGTAGTTTTATTCTAACATAAGTTTAGAATTTTTTTCGTTCCTGACAATACAGTTTTAATACAAATGCCAAGTTCAAAAGTTGGCTATCGATTTTTTTTAACGTAAAACTGTAAGAAAAACTACGAGTTTTTCACTGGAGTCAACTTGAGATTTTTTCATATGTGCTTTTTTATTTTCAAATGTGGTTTTTAGTATTTTTGACTACAAATTTCATTGTAACTACCTTGTCTCAGTTTCATTCCCTTGTGTAGAATATGGCAATTTCTATAAAAGTTGTGAATACTAAATGGCCAGATCCCTTTCATATCACTAAGTTAATCATCTTTTTTATGATAGTAACGTTGTATTAACACATTTACTGAAATGTGAGTTATTAACATCCAGACATAAAGCACCCTAAATAAAAATGTTAAGAATAAACCAAACCTTAACAACCGATTCCTAATCTTGGCAGATTGTTTATATGTTTTTTTTGACGTTTGTTAGTTGGTTATCTGAGTTTAATGTAGAAGGTAAGTTAGGCTATAGTCATTCTTTTATTCAGTTTAAATAGAAGAAATTATGTCAGAATCAGGATTATTTTTATATTGTGACCCTTCACAGAAATTGTGAGAAAAATTCAAGTTTGGGCGTCAAAATATTGTTATAAAAATTTCCAAAAAGCATATATATTCTAAATAAAATAACAAGAATTTAAAATCATTACGATGACGCCTGAACTGTAACAAATATGTAACAAAAAAACCGTTGAAAGAGACCGCAGATTGAACTCTAGTGAAATAACTGAAATTGTAGCTAATTAATTTTATGTTATGTACAAAGTTAAAAATAATGCAAGCAAAAATTGACATTTACAATTTCACTAGCATTACAGTTTTTGACGTTTTAGAGTAGAAAGTTTACTTTTATGTCATAAATGGGAAGCGACACAAAAGTCTCACATCACTGACTCACTATGAATAAAAATGATTTCAATACAGCATATGACCTACCTAGCTATCTGTGTAACGTGCCATTACTTGTTTTTATTGAATTTAATATATCTTCAGCGGGACTCTATCAACTATTGTCTAACAAGAGTCTATCTGCATAACATTAATCGTGCCTCAAACAAACATGAGTTGAATATAATATGAGCTGTACCTGAGTTTAGTAATACGCGGCATAACTTTTTGTGAAAAATTTAACTCGGAATAAAAATAGTCTTACAATTTTTTTTATTGCATGCTTTCTGCACCGTTTGAGATGAAATATTGTGCGGTAATTTGAAATCTGATTGCTGGTAAATCGAACTATGCAGACGTTGTAAAACTTTAAGGTACAACTTTCAGAGTTTCTTATTTTAAGGCTATTGATTTAAAAATGATTTTCCAACATAAGCAAGGTTTTACAATTGTTGCCGTCTGATTTACTTTTCTGTTGTTCTACTGTTTAAAATGAAATTGTATGAAACCAGTTCTAATGTATTTTATAGAATTCTCTTTTTCACTAATCTACGTAGAATTCGATATGTATTATCAGCTGATTTTGTATGTAATTTAGTGCTATTTTTGTTTTGACGCTACAAAGAATTCGTTCAAAAACATTATAAATTTTACTTTTACCAATTTTTCTTATTCTTTCTAATGATTCCACTACCCCAAAGGCAAATATGTTCACATTTCTCAATTTTGGGCTATATTATAATTTAGTAGTAGTTTCTTTTTTCGTTATCTATAAGAAAAAACACGAAACTAATACAAAACTTAACATAACAGAGCATGTTTTGTTATTGGTTAAAATTAAATTTAGTTCCACACGTAAACCAAAAGTGATGAAATGAATAATTCTAAATAAAGTTTCTCGCTAATTCAATACGCACACACACCAAGCCAAACAATTTAAATCCAAAATAATAATTATGCACATGCAATACGTGTGTTTATTTTGCAAAAGTATAACACAAAGCAAACAAATTTTGATTGCCTATTATTATTTGCAGAAAATCGCTTATAACGTTATAGATAATCCCACTTTAATTGATGTTTATTCAAAATCAAAATGTGATAGAACTAATAAAAATTTCAATAATCACATCCGACGCAGCATTAAAATAGAACTTTGAAACTTTGTACACAAAAACTATTTTAGTATATTAACAGATTTGTCACAAGACACAATCTGTAGTCCCCTTACTCTGCGTCTTGAAACAGCGTTAAATACATTTTGGATAAAATTTACAGAAAAATGGCCTTGTACAAGTATTTTTCTTCTCGCTGTGTAGGCCTCACAGTGAGTCAAAAAAGTTACTAGCACAAATAGGTGTGGTCCGGTTGGTGAAATTAATTTAAGAATATCCTTCTTTCCTTGAGATTTGATGCTTTTCAGATAATTCTTTGCACGCCTTCACGTTAGGATATACGCCATCTGCGATCCCTTTACTTTTCATTTATTCCAGATCCAATCTAGTCTTTACAAACTTCATTTTCTACTGACTGAATTATGCTTCCTTATCTCACAGTAATTACTCACGTTTTCCCTTCGTACATGAATGTAGACACTACCATCATTTTATAAAGTTTGGAACGTGACTCATTTCTTGTCGCAAACTCTAAATACCCAACCCCAGCTTCACATGTGTTCCAAAGATTTAGGTAATTTTTCTTCTGACTTCCACCTTCTCATGTTTCGGTTAAGAAAAACTAAGTGCCGTTCCACTTTGTATTATATTCTGCTACGCACAGCTTTTCCAAAAACTATTCGACTACTAACATTAGTCGGCAGCCTAATGGTCTCGGAAATTATTGAAACGAACGGATTTCGAGTTGGAAACTGCTACCAGTGTCGATAACGGTTTAATAACCCACATTTATGCCGAGTATTATTTGATAACAACACTACTTTGTTTGACTGTTAGGGTACTCTACAAACGTATCAGATTTTAATATCGAGTCCAACTAATATCTAAAACAGAATTAGTAAGTTTAAAATTGTCCGGATACAGTAGTTGGAAATTGATTGTTCATAACTTAAAAATTTATATTTAGTAGTTCTTTATATCAAATTGAAAATAGTTTATGCTAAATGAATAAGCCATACGTCAACTATCATCGTTAGGTTTATTTGTATCAAGTAAAACTAGATTTGTTCTACAATTACTAATTTTGCAATGCAAGCACATCAACAAGAAAGGTTTCAGATGAAATGAGAAAAAACGGCTTAATCGAAATAAATTTGTATGTTAACTATATGGTATATGAATCAATGTATTACTCAATTCTGTTTGATTTAAATTTATACAAAAACAGATTTAGAAAATAGCTTAGATTGTTAGCTACTCATAAAGCAAATCTACATATTTTTAAAGTGGGTAATCTCCTAAAAACTACAGTAATATTTGATACTTAAATGCAAAGAATTATACCGTTTTTTTTATTATTCGTTATATATCATAGTCCGATTTTTAGAATGTAAAAATATTCGTACTGAAATGTTTCAGTTTTAGCTGAAACTATATTCTGATATAGAATGAGACAATTTTCAGTTTTCCTTGACAAAGTGGTATCTA